CTCTCATCTCTCTCATCTCTCTCATCTCTCTCATCTCTCTCATCTCTTTCTCATCTCTCTCTCCTCTCTCTCTCTCTCTCTCCTCTCTGTCTCTCGTCTTTCCGTCTCTCTTCTCTCGCAGGAGGATCCGGGCAAAGAGCCACATATAAAGGACTCTTCACCCCTGCCTCCAAAAAGAGCGCCGTGTTTTTTCCTACCTCGCTGCCCTCCACTTTCCCATTCTGGAGCGCTAGCTTTCGCCCCCCCCTTGGCCTCAAGTATATATAGAGAGAGAGAGAGAGAGCGATGGCTTGCAAGGGTAAGGACCATTTCCGACACTTTCCGTGACGATGTTTGGCTCCTCGTCATACTTATCTCTTTGGACTCATTTCTGAGGGCCACGAGAATTGACATGTCAATCCTGTTTCCTTTGTCTATGTTTGATCTACTTGGTCAATACGTTGTCTAAGTCGGCAATGCGCTTTGCTCCCGCTTTGCTCCTTTGGGCTTCCCGTCATTGAGCATAACTCCTTGACCCTGACGACCAAAAGAAGACAGGTCACGTCGTGCGAAACGCGCACTTTCTTCCGAGGTGCGAATGACGTTTCGATAACCCTCACAGCATTTCGGCTGTATTTTGAAGCACGTCTACTAAGTACGGTTTAACAGACAGTTGCATGTTTGTCCCGTTTACAGTGTACGATGAAAATGGGTTCGCCAGAAAGACAGGGGAATCTTTCAGCCAGGCGTCCGAATGGGTTCAAACTGGTCACGCTTCAAGACCTTAAAGCGAAACGTGTCACAATTACTATTGTACAATTATACATTCTGACACGGCTTGCGCGAGGCGCTGAACCTTCTTGGACCTGTGCGCGAATGGTTGAATATGCCTGAAAAAGGCCACCTGTTTGGGCTGTGATTCCAAAAAACATGAGCTGTCCAGACACCGACGAAGACACCCGACAAACCGAACACTGCAGGAGCCCCCAAAGCCGAAGCCGAAAGCTCCGGTGCTCCGGGAGACTTGCACCGTGACCTTGGCCCAGCGGCCGTTTGGCATGGCGCCCTCGAAAGAGGACCGGTGATTTCTTGAAGTTGTGGAGATGTGTTTAATTGTTTTTGCACGAAGATATCTATTACAGTAGGAAGGTTCCAAGGTGTCGCATCATGCGAGTGCATGTCAGTGCATCATGCTGGATGAGGGCAAGGAAACAGTGCAATGCAAGGAAAGATGTCCACATTACATTTTGGATGATCCCTAAAAGGTGTCCAAACAAAAGGCTGAATGAGTTGCTCAGATCTTCTCAGGAGAAGGGCTATGTTGTGGAGAAGCTTGCAGAGGGGAAACCTGCGGCTGAGGTGTGGGTCGTATTGTGAGTTGGTGTACGAGACACTCAAGGATTCATAGTCTTAATGGAAGAACTCCAGCACCAGTTGCGATGAAGGAACCCTGTGAATAGGAGGAAAATGGGATATGGTCCGCCCAATGTTCCATACAAGACCCTCCCAGGCTGGCGTGGATTCTGGCTGGCGCGTGGTGCGAGTGGCTGGCCAGGACTGTAGTGAGAAGTCCTCAGCAGACATTCAAGGGCTCCTGAGACTCGTCAATGACGTTTTTTGGATCTTCTCATTCCAATGTTTGATGTTCACATGGTTCACAAGTACGATTTATATTATATGATTTAGAGTGGTCCCCCTTCCGGGGGCAACAGATATAAACATCGGGGTATCCAAGGTCCTAGACATACCCAAAATTTGAGACAGACTGACAGGAAACATCCAGAATCCAGGTGAGGTTCTTTACAAACAGACTGAGCATGTCATTGGGTTCGGAGGGTTCCACACTGGTTGCGCATTGCGGCAGAGAAGTGAGTTGAAGAGCACATTTGGGAGCACTCATTGCCTGCAGTTCTGGACCGAAGGGCTGGCTTTTCTCGGCTTTCTTCGATCGCTTCGAACACGATCCTCGCTTCGATCCGAGGAAGGAAGCGGCATTGCAACTTGCCCTTGAAAATGACCGGACAAAATCCCTCCATGTAGATAGGATGCATTTGCGGATCTCACCAAATATGCTTAGAACGGCCCCGGTTTTTGAGGTGGAGTTTGTCCATCAACAGTGACAATGTGTGTCAAGTCATTGATTGGCTTACCTACACAGTGGGAGATTGTGAAATACCCAGAGTAGTTTGGGTGGCTGGAAGCGACTCCATTTCTTTGTTCATCAAGCAGAAGTGAAAGATAGATCCAACACGAACTGCCCAAGGCCTGTGGAAGTGCAATTCCAAAAGCCAGAAGAGGTCGAGTGACGTGGGGGACTGATGATTTTCAACGGAGATCACGGACGGCGAAATCTTGTGCCCAAATGGACCTTGATGTACTGGGAAAAGGGGAGATGCTCAGTGCTCAGAGAGGGAAATCTGCCAGGGTGGTGAGCTTTCTTCCCATTTTGTAGCCATATCTTTCTGAAAAAGGAGAGAAGTCATAATGCCTCCTTCAAAGCATGTTGCAGCAGCTGGCCATCCAGCAGAACCACCTCCAATGATTCAGTCAACATCTCATGCTTGGTGCTGGAAGACCATCACGGCAGGAGGCCTTGCCCAGCAGTGAAGAGGATGAGAACAACATCCAAAATGTGCGTGCAGATCATCGACGACAACATGAGGCAGACTGAACTGCAGATCCTAAAAGAATGAACGACTAGAACAAGCTCGAACACATTTATCCAACTGTACAACTAGAATAGCATACAAAACCACAAGGAGTTTAGTGCAAGCTTCGGGCGCCTCAAGAAACTTGGGTTTGCTGTCTTGGAGGGAGGGAAAGACTGTCACATGTCATGTTGCATGCCTCTCCCAGGGCAACTTCAGTTGGTTGAGTTTCAACGTTGTGGCTTGGGGGGCCCGCCATTCATTCGGGTTCGAGAACGTCGCACCAGTGATGGCGAGTTCGTCATTTGTCGGTTTCTTGGTACTCTTGTTTGAACCAGTTGTAGTAAATCACGGGTTTCCAAGTGACAGAGGGAGTGCAAGGAGCCTATGGAACGCTGTTCCACATTGTGAAGAGGTGTAGGGCTCTGGAAGATAGATTTATCCTCAGAAGCACCACAATCATAGAAGAGCCAAGGAATGTCAACAAGGTCTAGTGTGAATGTAAATGTACGTATAAACGACAGAAAGAGGATGCCTGTCACACCAACTAAGTCATAGAGATTCCACAGAGCAAACTCACTCTGAGTGCAAAATGAGTCCTGTCGCTCACTTTCATTTCAAACCAAATAGTCCTGTCGTGTTTCCACCCCTGGACTGGAAATTCATGATTCACGCACCAGGCGTCCTTGTCCAACATCGATGATTTGCCCGTGGAACGAGATCCCAGTGATCTGCCGGAGCCCATCGCTTCCTGGCGTGTCCCGGCGGGAAGGGAAGGGAAGAATGTCGTTTCTTTTCGATATTTTTGCTAGAAACTGCTTAGCTGGCGGTCTCAAACCACGGACAGCTTGAAAGTCAAAAAACAGCTGGAAACTGCTTTGAAAGAGACGTCATGGACCCACTCCGTCACTCCAACTAGTGGGATGTCCTGGACGGTTTCACGATGGATGACTTTTGCCAAAGCACGGATATCATGCTGCAGTCAAATGGATTATTTTGCCATTGATGGGGATGTGGGAATTTTCTCCGTACCCGAACAAGCTGGCAGAGATGAACATTTCAAGGGAAATACATGGAAATACGATATATGCACTGTATAGCACAACAGATGATATCAACAAAATAACAACGATATATCACAAGAATTGGTTTGATGGGTGCATGTTCAATTACAACTACATACTATGATACACTTTTGGGGGCAGCAGTAACCTTCTTTGAAAGGACTTGGCTGAGTTTCCCTTGATAGGGCCAAAGTATTCTTGGAGGGGAAGTTCAGTGTTTTGGTGGATCCAGGCCATGACTCAAAAATATAGCGTTGCAGCAGGCCACACACTAAGCATAAGCAGAGTTCGGCAAAAGCCCTAGAAGCCAAATGATGGAGAAGGCATCCCTGTGAGATTCCAGATTCCCTCTTTCTTGCATTTTCTTGCTGTTCGACTTAGGAGATGCTTGTGAGCGTCGCTTGTTGAACGCTTCTATTGTTCACAAGCTGCAGCTTGGCGCGCGACCGGCCAAAATCGAAGCGGACGAGACGAGAGCCTCGACGAGAGCTCCAGACCACCCTTAGTCTTGATTCTTGATGAGAGCTCCAGACATGTTTGCCCGTGCAAATGCGCGTTGGAGAATCCATTTCTGGTACAAACCACGCGGGTTGAAGTTGTGAGTTTTCACTAATCGATTATCATCGATTCATATCACCGGGCAGAATCCTGGTATCCTGTGGCAACCATGGGGTAAGATCAACCACGGGGCTCCAACTCAGTTGATCAACAATGCAGCTCAGCCGAGCTTGCCGACTGCTTGTATTGAACCTGCTACCCCTATGGCGAGGTCGAAGATTCCAGGCATCACGTGGTGTCATCACTGGTATCCACGTGGTTGATAAACCTAATTACTGATGGATACTGATCGTAGTTGCACACCCCCAAGCTTTCTCGTTGTGAACCACCGGAGGACCAGTATTCCGAACGACACCACTCATCAGCTGCCCCACCACACCGAGGCACGCGGCCGGTCTCAAACGTCCCACGCTCATCCAGCGCCATGCCGTGCCCATCGTGGGGCACAAGGAACACTATGACCTTGTAGCACAAGCACAAACAGGCGATGTGAAAGATCACAACTTTGGGTGTTGTTTGGTTTGATTGGGCTTGGTTTAAAGTGGTTGGTCTTTTTAGCAGGTTCAGTTTGACCACAGTGACATTCACGAGCAGTGCCAAGGCTTGAACATGATAGGTTGGGAGCAAATCTCTTGGTCTTTGTGCGTCCGGGCATGTGCTGGACATGAATTTGATTTTGTGGGGTTCATAGCATGCTGTTGCTCGTTGAGTCTTGTGTCGAAGAATAGATGACATGAGATCCTCTCAGGATCAATACATTTGTGAGCAGAAACACCTCACTCACAACCAATCATGTGATGCCGCATGCCTTCAGCAGTTGCAATTGTTGCAATGTCTTGGACGCAGATCCCCTCGGCCGAAAACGACATGTCGAAGGCAATTGTGAATCAAGTCGGTGGTAGATGCTGAGATAGCTAGACTCAGTCGATTCCGTGGAAGAGGTTCATCCTCCCTACTGGGGACGGCTCAAACCGTACATATCTAGCAGAATCTAGCAGCCAGCAACACCTAGACACGAGGTGCCAGTATTCTCCGCAAAGTATTCAAGCCCTCCAGAGAGTCATTGTAAAGACAGATCAACATGATCGACACTGCCTCTTTTGCAGGCAATCCTATAATCCTCCGAAGGATTCATCCTTGCTGTAATGTGCATTGTACCACACCTTTGATGTCTAGACTTCTTTTGGCAGTTCATCGCATGCTATTAGTAATAAGTGCCACGCTACTAGGAACAAGTGCATCGCTTCTAGTAACAAGTGCCTTACTAGTAGTAACAATAAGCTATTAGAAACAAGTGCCACGCTACTAGTAACAGGTGCCTTACTAGCAGTAACAATAAGCTATTAGAAACAAGTGCCACGCTACTAGTAACAGGTGCCTTACTAGTAGTAACAAGAAGCTATTGGAAACAAGTGCCTTACTACTAGTAACAATAAGCATTTAATAAGAAGCTACTAGTCGGTCCAGTCCGACAGTCCGGCGGCAGGTTCGGGGAAGACGTTCGCCTTCGTGATCCCAACGACACCTGGACCGGTGCCGTTCGCTCCTGTTTTGGGGCCTCGGTAGGGTTGCCGGAAAGTTGTGGGTTCAAGTGGATCACTGCTCCAGCATACCCCTTGAGTCCTGAGCCTGAAAGGATTCCAACAAAAACCTACAAATGGATGTGGGGGTCATTTGAGACGTACCCACAACCTTGGATCAAGGCTATCATTTGGCGAATGTCCAGCATGCTCAGTCGATCTCAGTGATCTCTGTCTATACATCCCAAATAGTCTTGGGAAAATGAATAATTCAAGTGCCTCAAGTGACTCCATTTAGATCCATTTAGAATGAATATAACATAATGCATCATATTGCTATAGACATCTCGAGGTCAATGGATAATAAGTTGCGACGCCGAGGATCGCTCGTTTACTGCTGCGTGGCTGCCCTCCACGGCCCTTCTTCCCGGGGCCCACAGCGCAGGCGGGCTGGGGGGCTGGGTATGCTGGGTTGGGACGCCTCTTGATGACGCAGCTGGGTCTAGTGCAGCTACATTTGGAGGATTGTCCCAGAATCGAGCTACACTTGTAGTGGCAGTTGATCATCTCCTATTCTGGTGCATGTCTCATGGATGTTCATGGTATATTCTGCTCGATGGCCTGTAGGTTGGTGGAGCAGTGCTGGCAAAGCATACGGTTAAGTCCCTCCTTGGACAGGCTCCCAAAATAGTGACAAAACATCCTTGGTAAGTTCGCAGACGCTAGCAAAACTGTTGGGTTGGGAATATTTGGTGCATTTTGGTGTTATGTCGTTCCCGATCTCTTTTGAAATGCTTTTTGCCGGGGAAGGTTCAAAATTTGAACAAACACAGCGCCGGATTTTTACATTCAGATTTGTTCAGGTTTTTGACACATATCATACAACACGATTGATCCCAGTATCCCCAAAGGCGAAATACTTCACTTCAGACCAACTATAAGGTACATAAATGAACGACATCCGTTCTCCATGTCTTTTGTGAGTATATAGTTTGTAAGCTTTTTGTAAAGCATGCATCAATCCCAGACCCACCAAATTGGTCAAAAAATGTCGAATCAAACCAGTTCCTGCTCGAGGCCAAAACAGACAAGAGAACCTAGATTAGTACCAATCCGATTTCTGGGGTCACCTAGGACCTAGAACCTTTTCATTCCGCTTCTTGAGACATGACCTCACGCATGCCTACCGATCTTTCCCGTCTCAGGGCTGCCCCGTGGTGCTGGTCCTCTCGCCCACTCGGGAGCTGGCCATCCAGACCTGTAGCGAGATGGAAGTCCTCACCAAGGGGTGACCCGACACTGAAGCGAATGCGCTCGGGGGGTCGGTAACAATCGGCTCGGGGAAGAGGATACTGTAACGAGTCGACGAGTCGACACACGCCAGGAGTAGTCGAGGATCGTTGATGTTTTGGGGCTCACGGGGCACCCGTTTGGGGATTTGGGCTCAGTACTTGCCTCGAATGTGGCACTCTGTGTTTGTTCGATCCTGTTTGAATGTGTACTTGTTCTCGACTCGTGATTTTATGTGTTTTTTTCTTTTCAACCTTCCAACTTCCACCAAGTACAGTAGTGGGTTAGAGATTTCAGTCTCTCCAAGACTATATACTTAGCAAGCGCCCAACCCAGCTAGGTCCCAGGTTAAAGGTGCCAAATCTAAAATGCTGCTCTTTCAGAGTCAAAGTTCCAACCTTGCTACATTTGTCTCAGGTCGAAACTCACCCAGCTTCTTGGCTGATGGGAAGAAGTTGCAGAAGATCGCCAGTTTGCCGAGTGTGAGATTGTTGCATGCCTAGACTTTACATATTGAGTATTAAAAGGTCTTTGTCCTTGGTCCTTGATCCAAGAAGGACAATAGGTAGGGCATCCTGACTAATGACTGTGAACCTGAGCCTTGCAGTGGGCTTGGTCCTAATTCCACAAGAAAGGGGTCAAGAATCAAACGACATCATGTTCAGCCTCCTGATTCTGTAAATTAAAGACTCTGAAAACAGTTGATATCTGATGCTTATACTTCTTGCGTTTGTCAATCCCCTGCGCTCCAGCCAATATGTTCACGGATAGAGATGTTTACGCTACTTTGCTGCCAAACCCCAAAAGATTACACTGTCAGTGACCCCCAAAGGCCCAATTCACACCGCCTCCTTCAAGCTGAAGAAGCTACTAGGTTGGAGGCCATCGCTATCAGGTTGGAGGCCAATGCTCGCAACAAGAAGCTACTAGAAACCAGATCGTTGGAGCCCAAAGGGCCCAAAGCGTTCGAATTTCTTGAAGTTCACACGCCTTTTTCGGTTCTGCGGTTTCTTCTTTTCGACGCTTCTCGCAGGATGAGCATCTACGGTGGAGAGACCATCAAAGAAACGGCCAAGCGAGTGGAAACAGCTCCCATTGACATCATTTGTGCTACACCTGGTCGGCTCATTGCTCTACTGGATGAGACCAAGTATCTTGGACATGTGGTTTTCTTGATGTGGGAATTGGAGGTGACGTCATACTTCGGAAGATCCAAGACCTTTCACAGGATTGACATTTCCACCACGACTTCACCATTTGAGCTGGAGATCTTCACACACATCCTTTGGGACAGCAGATCATGAGCTGTTTTTGTTGTCCCAAAGGATGTGTGACAAAAACAGCTGAGAGAGGTTTGTGGCATTGATTTTGAGATTCCTGACAAGTCCACTGGGTCCGAAGAGAAGTCAAACCGTCCACTTCTTCCGATGGGCTGAATGAGCTGATCAATTTAGCTAGCGTAGCTTGGAGACAACGTCCTTGTCACCCAACAGTGCTGTGACTCAACTAAGTGAGATTTGTTCTGCAACAAGGTGTGGTATACCTGCCACACCCAGCTAGAACAGCCTAGAACAGCCTTCATGTTTGTCAAAGGAACAGCTCCTCTTACTCTGTTCGATTGATGAGAGGCTCGTTCGATGTGAACATCGGTTTTCAGATGCGCCAGGATTTCCTTGGCCTACGTGCAGACGGTGATTCTGGATGAAGCTGATCAGATGCTTGAGCAACGTCTTGAAACTCGGTTTCAGAAAGAAAACACAGAAAACACATCACCCAGTCGGATCAGATGTTTGCCCGGTGTAAGAATCTCAATCAGTTCAATATCATTCAAGATTAATTTAAAAGATCATGAGTCATAAATGTTGGCTGGATGTTGGGTAGTCTGACCCCTTTCACGGACTTTTTTGACGGTGCATGTCCCAGGTGTGTCCACGCCCTGTTTGTGTGTGTGTGTGTCGAGGTCTATCAGATCCAAGCCTAAGTGATCTAAGTATGTCTACTGCAAAGTTTACTGCAAGTGAAATGACTTTGTTCCTGGCCTTTGGGGTCCATGTTTGCTTGCATTTGTTCTTGAGCTGAAGACAGGGCACTGTGGCTTTTCTGATCGCTGTCTCAGGAGATCATGTGTGCAGACATCCTTGTGGGCAGAGAAGCTTTGATCAATCAGATGCAGCCTTTCTAACCTGATATGATGTTCAAGGGAAATAGATAGTAACTCCCTGTTTGATTCGGAGCTGCTCAATTGAACATATTGAACAAGGGACACTCAATGTTGCACTACAGGTCCTTGTCTTAACTCTCATGTGCATGTCCTAAGACAAGGGGGCTTGCGTGTTCTGAGCATCCAGTGGCTTTGTCTTGCACCCGGTGGGCAAACTGTGAAGGGCTGCTTTGTCCGGTGCTGTTGTGGCATGTGGTGCGCTCGGATGGCCTTGAGCGAAGAGATGTGACACCCGACCCGCGCTCCGAGTTGGACCGGCAAGGTTTTTTTCCTGGGATCTTGTGGGGGTGGAGGTTGATCAAATTCACAATTCAGGCTGCAAAAGTCCATCCATGGCGCTTGCTCCCCATGTCCATCCAAAACCTGAAATAGGTTCAAGTCGCCCTGGATGGTGGCTTGCACACTGGTTTGCGCTTCACTAGTCCAAGGAGGAGTGGGGGTGAAGGCCTTTCAGCGTTCAGCGTTGAACGCCGCTTTGACGGTTTAGGACATGCCGGCGCCCAGCTCGGGCCGCCAAACCTTGCTCTTCAGCGCGACCATCCCACAGACGCTTGGAACTCTTCAGTGAGTCAGGCGGTGAGTCAGGCGGGGACATGCAGAGAGAGAGAGAGAGAGAGCTATCAAGACTTGGACAATCAAAAGTTGGACAAGACCTCCAAATGGTTGGATGACGCATTGGAAAGTGGCACTCTCTGATCAGATGGCACTATTCTTTGTGCAAACCAGATCCTTTCTAAGCCAAGGATTCTATCGCTGCGTACCAACAAAAACAGGGCACGTGCCGGACGAAAACTTTTGAGTGGACTGTGTGCCGATAATCCACGGGGCAAAGAGCCCGTTGCAATGAACACTTGCCTAAGAATAGGACAGAATCCATTTGATTACTGAAGAAGTTATTGTCGGTCAAGTACCGATCTTTGTCAAACCCAGTGCTCCCAAAGCTGGTTCCCGGACATGTCCTGTTGTACTGGCGGTATAGGAACGTAAGAACAGTCGGGCGACCATTCATCGTGAGTCATGGGTCAAATGTGTTGCAACATCGCCCTTAGGTAGCTAGTAGCTATACTAGTAGCTTCTTGCTACTACTAGTAAGGCACCTTGCTACTAGTAGCCATGCATTTGTTACCAGTAGCTTTTTGCTACTCTGGCTCGCAAGTTAGCCTGGTCCATGTGATCTCCCGAAGCTCACAGTCAAAGACTCAAGCTGAAACCGTACCTGCTGTACGTGTGTGCCCTAGGATTCCAATCACCATTCTTTAGTAATGGTCTTGACCGAGTAAACATTCTATTTGCCCAGGGATTTGAACACGACGAATCCAGAAGGCTAGGGTGTGGATGCTTCTGGTATACTTCCCTACTGCTCATGACGCTCATGTATGTTTAAAACACTGTCACTCTGGTGCTGGGCACCGCTTGTTTCCATCACTCTATGGCTCGCTCTCATGAACCATCTCTCTGGTAAAGATATGTTTTTATCCTGGAGCTCAAGCGTGGAAACTGCTGGAGTATCACTAGTTTTTACAAACCGGAACTACTGTATTCATGTTGTGCTGGTTCCTTAAAAGTTGCTTTATTCCCGAAGATATGTTCACGAAAGAACCTTGCTCAAGCTTGGGATGGTGATGGTCTAAACCCACTAGCCCTACAGCAGATCGAACCCACTACGGGCGAGCAGGGCCAAGGTTAGTATTGAAGGCAGGCTTAGTGAAGCAGGACTCGTTACTAACGAGTTTTCTTGAGGGCATAAGGATCGAAGTATAGGGCCTTACAAGGGAGGTCCACCAAGTGTATCATCCCTCATTTGTATATAATTTAGATGTACATAATGCATGTGTGATTGACATTGGTTGCGCGAGGGTGGCCTTTATCTCCCACCAAAGTGGTGAGGCATCAACATGGATCAACTGCATTTCATCAATAGAAGCCATGCATGTCTTATTCATTCCAATACATCTGGAAGACATGAGTCCAAGGAAGATCCGGGACATGTGCCCACAGATTTTGCGGGAGAAGTGTCTTGGAGCGGCCATCGATTTTGCGTTCGGAGCGCGGAGGGTGGAGCTTGGCTTTAGGAGGAATCGTTTGGAACATGGTAGTAGCAATGGCCTCCAACCTAAGAGCAATGGGCTCCAAGCTATATGTTCCATACTTGTGGTCTCACGTCTTTTCTACTCGATGACTATGTTTGTGATCATTATGTCCGATCACGCAACAAAACTGAGTGATTGGGTTCAGAACCAAAAACGGCCACGCAAACATAGTCATTCAACGTGCCGTATGACGCCATTCAACGTCCTTCAACCGTCCAAACGCATGACTTGAACATTGCAGGTGTTCTGCAGGTGATTCCAGACCTGAAGAATCCGTGGGCCAAGGCGAAGGGCCAATCTCACCATCGGCTTCTACGATGACGACAAGGGTGGTTCTTGTGAAAGCATCACCCAGCGGCTTGGTGAGGAGCCAAATTGAGCTGGTAAATGGTCAGGGATGAGCTCGGTGCAGTTGAAGTAGTTCGGGACATTTGAAGTAGTTCGTTGTAAAAAGGGTGACATTGACATGACTTATAATGCATCCGATGTCAGTTGTTAACAGCTCCATCACCTTGACAAGATTCTCGGTAGTAAGCCTTGCTAAGTTGTCTCCTGTCCTGGCTGGGCTGAGAGGACGCCTCAAAGGTCATTGTGAGGAGTGGACTGGCTTAATCTTTGAGCGATTTGCCAACGAACAAAGCCATCTGAAGCAATCCATTCATGAAGGGGAAGCTATAATATCATATAATATCCAGAACCCGCGAGTCAAACGCACCAACCACGCTTGGGATGAAGCTAGATGAGCCACCATTGAGTGCATCGTGAAGATGTGAAGACCATATTCTCAGACCAGACTATCTTACATTGGAAAGTAATTCTGCTCAAGCTTGGTTGTTCTTTCCGAGCAGAACCCGTTTGATTACAGTAGAATCTATGCTTGGCAATGTCGGAGAACACCATGTGTACTTGATGTCAACTCAAAGAATTTGCATGAAATCGTCTTTCTTGTTTGTTTCGCATTGGATGCTTCATGACTTCTAGGTTTGGAGGCCATCGCTAGTAGGTTGGATTGTTCCTTTGGCACCACTGTGCTGCTTGTTCCTGTCCATCTGGGTTTCGGAGGCTCCTCCGGTGGTCTCCGGATGAGAAGCAGCGCATCGGGGAGCTGATCCGGGACCTCCGCACCGTGTGGGATCGGACGAAGGGACCCTTGGAGAACGGGCCGAACGGGGTGGGCTGAAACAAAGAAAGGTGAAGGAGGAGAAGACCAGGAAGGGTAAGGAGTGGGGGAATTGGAAGAGAAACGGAAGATGCTCAGGATGGAATCCTGGTAACTGGAAATTGCTGGCAAACTGCGAGTTGTGGCTTCGATTCGGTTCTCAACTCTTCCTTGGGAGTTCTACACACCCTTAGTCACAACACGTATACCGTATATACCGTATACTTATAGATCTTCAAATCCGGGATTCGTACGACGATGCGGGATGGTGCGGATATCCAGCTACAGCGAGAGATGCGAGGCCATCCATAAAACCCCATGGCTGTTCCAACATGTTTCAACAAAAACTGTGGTGCGTGATGGACATCTATCCCACCAACAAGATCAACAAGCGACTTGAACAAACAGCAGATTTGGAATCGATGATCTCCTCCTAAAGTGAAACCCGCAAGTTGGAAAGATTGACCAAGAATGGTTTTGCTTTGGAGAACACCGCATGTGGCAATTTTCTTGAATACTTCGATCTGCCAGTTTGGATGTTGAAACCAACACTTCTGGGTGATTTTGTTTGATGCCCAAGGCCGTGTGGTGATCTTCTCGAATCTCCGCTTGACAGCAGACTCCCTGGCGCATCAACTGCAGCGGGAGGCCGGGCAACGCCGGGCACCTGTGAGAATGAAGGGGCCATTGGGTTGGACTGAAAGGTTCTGGCTTGGTGCATGAGCGAGCCAAAAGCGAAGTCATGACAGGGATGCTCAAGTTGAAGATGTTGAAGTTATACAGATGTGGGCTGTTATTTCCCATTGGTCTCGGTTCCCTGACACCTCTAGGCTGCCTTTTGACACAAGGTGCAAGCAAAACCTGCTCAAGGGATCAGAGCAGCAAAACCTGCAGCAAGACCAACCATACTCTCTTGCTGGAGTAGAGGGGAAGATTGCCTTTGCAGGCCTTTGTGATGTTCGGCCCTCTAATGTGCTACATTGGTCGTAGGTCTAGGTCAATTTGCAGATGGACTTCGGGCAACTCGTAAAATGTATCCCCAAATTGTCCTAACCTAACCATTCCTTATCTCCTTTTGGAGAACTGTTTGGGATTTGACTGCTTACCAGATGCCTCAGATATAGAGTCTAGACTGTCCGAGGACGGGGAGAGGAGACCCCATCATTCGGGCCAGTTCAAACCGACGCGACCCGGCGGTGGAAACACGTGTTCCCAGTGTGTGTGTGTCTCACAGCAGATACTGGGATCCCTTTAGTCTTCCTACTTCCATATCTCTGACCTTGATCGCCGATGGTATCCCTATACTACTAGTATACTATATATATACATAATAAATAATATATATATATATATACGTGTATCTTCTTTTTGTATCTGAAATTGAGTATTCCTACGACTGGTCTTCAGCTCCACTTTCGCCCCGGGGCTCAGACCGGACGGACTGCGGTCTCCGCCGGTCTCCGCGCCACCGCAGGGGATGACCTGTCGGCATCTCCATGGGAAGCTGGACCAGGTGGGTCAATGATGGTCGATGTAGTTTTCCCCAAAACTATGGGATATGGTAAACCTTATATAGTCAAGTTTGTTCATGTTATGGTGCACACATTCAGATAGACACACACTCCACTGTTTTGCTGCTCCAAATGAAATGATGCGGAATTCTGCCGTATAGAACCGCAGCAAGTGGCCTAACATTAGGCTTGAAGATTGGTTTGTTGTTTCAATGTCTGGTCTGGTGAGTGGAAACGATCTCCATATGTGGCTGACTGTCCAGAGCCTTTGCTTATGTGCCCGTCAGGAAGTTCGAGAGAAGGTCTTTGATGGATTTCGACGAGGCGGGCAATCCCGTCCAGCATGACATGATGTAGGGGACAGGAGATGTCTCTATGTAGCTCTCTTGCATGGTCCGTCTTGCACGCTACGGTGGAAGAGGAAGAGGATCCATCTACAACAAGAAGCTGAAAGCCGCGAATATCATGTGTTTGAAGAAACTGGAGTCTAAAGTACAAACTGCATTCTAGAATGGAACTCCTTTGTGATTTACTGAACCACTTGTCGGCCGCTGCTTGCGTTTCTGGAACCATAGACTTCACGCCACGAGACCAAGAAGTTGTTTATATATCTATTAGAAAATAGGACTGACAAAACAAGCACCAAGTGACCGTTGACCAGATATTTGCCGTCCCAACGTCTATTCTGTATACGTCCTGGCCTGATGTGCGAAGACGAACGAATGGAGAAGCTGCACAGCTTTTGATCGGATTCCAATTGCAAGTTCCAGTCGATCTTTCCCCAGAGAGTGAGAGCTATTGGGCTTCTTACTTCAAGTATAGGAAGCAGCGCTTGTGTGCTATTGCGACTGAGCGGTTGCGGCGCAGGGTGTTGCTGCCAGATGTGCTAAGGGCAGTGGATCCTGTGCTGCTGCCCACCAATGTCTTTCACTATGACTATTTGGGGTCTACGCTGTCGTAATTTATCACCCAATCGGCACAGTCAGCCAAGACATTGAAGAATCTTGCTGGCTTAGATCAGCTTCCAAAGTGGAAAGATACAACCTCACCCAAGGATCATGTCCAACATAGGATGTTACTTATTTCGGCTCAACAAAAGTATTGAGTCGTTAATCTGGGGTTTTGCTGCCCCAGGGGATTTCGACATCTTGGTCGCCACTAACGTCGCGCCTGGCTCCCAGGTCTCTCATACTCTGCAGAAGCAAATCATAGAACATGCCTTGACTGTCCTCAAGCGCACTCTTGATCCTTAGTTATGCTTTGGTTTTGAAGAGGTTTCGTATTATATAAACCAATAAAAGGTTAAACCCTTTTCAGAAAACCCTTTTCAAAGGGACCGATCAACAGGATAGGATGCATTGCCCTGCTTCGTGTGTTCCAGTGCCGTTTGATGAGAAAACACGGTTGAGAAAACAGGCGATGCTGTTGAGACGATTTGAGCATCGATTGACATGTCTCAAGATGGATCCTCAAACAGATGGAAAAAAAAGAAACTCAACCCATCAGATAGTCACTGCCCTGACAAATTTCTGTTGTCCACCGTATGATGCATTTGGACTATTGATCAAAGCAAGGCAGGTCGGCTGAGCCGCCCCGTGGTTTCGCTGAGGTCCAGAGGCTTGGACTTTCCAGACGTCTCCCTGGTGGTTCAGTTCAACCTTCCGGACAATATTGACGTCTACACCCACCGTTCTCCGGCAATCGTCGCGCGTGCCGGCGGAGATGAATCGCAGACGCAGAGAGCAAGCATTTGGAAGGCATAAAGCACAGACACCTGGCAAGTGTGGGTTGATATCTTTTGCCACAGTTTTTCGGTGTGGGATGTATGGCCTTCCTAAGAACATTCCTTGCACCAACACAGTTGGTAGAGGAGGGGTTGGGTGTCCTCGCCAAAAGCGGCGCGAGCTCATCAATTTGAAGGCCCATCCAATCATGCATCTCACATATATCATTGGTTGTTAGTGCATCAGGGTACCCTCACTCGGCTTGAACACCTGGCAGCGCATGTTCTTCAAAGTGTTCGGCTTCTTTGTTTCGGTGTGTTGAAGTGCGTACGTGTCTAGCATATGAGTGTCATCTCTTCGGAACTGGAAGCAGCCTGCTTGTCAGAACAGGAATTGATTCCTGAAACCAATGACTCTTGACCAACTTCATACAGTATATTGACTACCATATGCGGCACATGCATGAACAAATATGAACAGTATATGAACAATATTTTTGGGTGGGGGGAGCATATATTTTTACGCTTATGTCATCTTATGTCTGTGACATATGTGCATAGAACATCATACAACTAAATATACCATATAGTAACAGATATTGTATAAATTATGACCATGTAGACAATGTTTTGCCAACCCATGAACCATCTCCCTGTTCCCCCACCCCGTCATTCCCAGGGGTGGGCCGCACCGGCCGCATCGGCCAGGCGCGAAGAGACGGGTTTGGTCTCGTTGGCGGTGCGAAGAAGAGGAAACATGAGTTTAACATAGTTTAACCCTCCTTAGGTCCTGGGGGGTTGACCAGAAAATAGAAGAATCCCACCAGTTTCTGTGACGTGTACTTCTGGTTTGCATCAATCACTTTGCAGATAGAGTGTTACACTGGGGTGTAGTAGAAAGTGTTTATGGGTGTTTTGTTGTTTGCAGATGTTGAGAGGCCTTGAGAGGCCATGAGGTTCGCTGTACGACTGAGGGAGACAGTGGTAGCTGGTAGCTGTCGCCCAATGGATAGAAGTGGTTTTCAGTAGGTTTTAACCAGAGACAGACCGTTTGAACCGAAATCATTATGATCATTATGCCCATGCAAAACGGGATCATAGGCACACACAACACTGGATCATGTGCGGACACAAAGGTTGGGGATGGGGTGGGGCGGGGATTTGTTTTGCATCATTACAGCTTCCGAACGGAGATGAGTGCAGAGTGACGATGGTGTGCTTCCTCTATGCGCTGATCGTTGTTCCTGCTTGCATGTGCTTTGTGATGGTGATTCTTGGAATTTTGTTTCTGCCGTCCGTTTGTGCATCACAAAATCTTGGGTCGTACCTGTCCTCACGATGCAGAGTTCAGGTGTACCGATAAACCCTCATCCATCATCATCCATCATCATCCATCTAGGATGTCGGATCTCTTGTTTCCACGGGACGACTCGTCGAAGAAAAGGCAACAATTTGATATTTCAACCGTTTCAAGTTTGCGCCCGTCATCAAGAAACAGTTCGCCCAAGACAACCAGCTACAGACGTTCCCCAGCTACAGACAACCCGTCCACATGTCCCTCAATTTGCAGCATCCTATGCCCATCTATGCCCCTATGCCCCTGCGCCCCTGCCTACGCATGCCGCCCCTGGCACTTCAGGTTGGCCATGCTTTGGCTTATTTGGGCCCAAAGGATAAGAAGATTGCTGCGAAGCTGGTGGTGCCCTGGAACGAAGAGATGGTGTAGGGCGGGTGTATATAGGGTGTATATATAGGGCGATTGGGTGTCAAGTGTCAAGTGAGCTCAGGGTTAGAATGATTGGCTGTAGCTGGACATTCCAGCTACAGAACTTGGTAATGATCGTGTGGTGGTGTAGAAGATTGCTGCGTGGATCCAAGCTGAAGACCTCAAGGCATTCTGCTCACAATGGCCACTTTAACTATTTGTTTGCCATATGCCTTCCTAAAGATGTCCAGTGGAATGCCTAGTGCACAATCTCAGGAGTTTCTCGAGCTCAACAAGCAAGAAGTACCGGAGCGCACACCCGTGGCGCCAACCCTGGCGGTTGTGGGTTGTGGGATCCAGGTTCCATCTCCGGGCAGCCTGGTTGGTGGGCCCCGAGTTGGTTTACCAACCTGCCGCAAAACCAAACCAATTCCTCTCCAAGGAATTCCTTGCAATAATGCTTTGATGAGTGACGAAAGACAGACCATAAGGACATACTGTATGATATATGTGGACGAGCGGGTGATGCTTTGGCTACTGTGCCAGTCATCTATGTCGCTGTGCCATAGGATGGTCAAGAAGATGTTTGACACCCATGGATAGTTCTATCAATATTTCGGGCGAAGAACAGCGCTGGCTTGAACACTGGCAAGGATTCCAGAACTCTTGTAGAAGAATGTTGCATAATTACTCATAAGTTGGGCACAAATCCGCTTAAACAGTCCTAGGCCCGAAAGGAACTGAGTCTGAGTCCCTCCGTCACATAGGAAAAACTCTTAGCTTAACATCCCATTGGTTAAACGGACGTGGAAGAACTGGGCGGTGCTTTTTGCGGAACATTTCCCTTGACGTCCAAGAGCCAGCGGACCGCAGGACTACTTACGAGACATGGCCATTCGGGCTGAGACGCTGCGGCACAACCGATGAGCGTCCACCCAAAAAGGGGAGGAGACCGCTGGGCTCTCAACATCGGTCTGATGTGGTACCGTATGGTCCAATGTGATGAAAACCATGTGATCCAATTTGTTTCAGCTTTTTGACAAGGCAGGTCCCCTGCTGCACCGCAGTACAGGCTCCTAGCTTTAAGATGCTTGAAGATGCTTTAAGACACGTGTTCTGTCAGCTCAGTAAAAGCTACGTCAGTGGACTCATGCTGCTGTTTCTGTGCTCAAATTATTTGGTTTGATCAGGCAACACAGTAGAGAGGTCACTCGAGTCAGCAGTCGTGTTGCTTTGTGCAAGAGAGTCCCAATGCATGGCGCGGCATGACAGCGAAGGGTGGTGCACAAGTGCACAATAAGTATTTGATGTATTCCTCAAATCAAACTCCCAATGTTGGTGGCATGCACTGATTGCAACAAGTCACTGGCAAGACCGACATGCAAAACTTGTCCTCCTACCCAGGCGCCTGACTGGGGTTCCAGTCCAGAAGTTGGAGTGTGGTTGTGCTTGATTTGCTTCCGTCAGTGGCGTCGCCCGCCCCATGGCGTTGATCACTGATGGCAACCGGAAACTGGAGGCCGGCCGTTTTCGGGTCATGGGCTTGGCTTGGTGGGAAAAGACACTTAATCAAAAGCGTTGCCACTCTGAAGACACTACCAGTTGGTACCACTGATGATTCTGATGATGAGGACTTATAACATGTGTTTGGACCACCCGCGGTCACGTTAAGACAACCATTTCGCGTGGCCAGTGTGGCAGGATGTAGCAATTCTAGAGCAGTGCTGGGCAACTTCCCAAATCTGATCGGCTAGGATACCGTTGGACAATGTCCTGTGCCGATGTGAGAAACACTACACGGTTGCTTCACAGTCTACATATGGAGATACACCACTATCACACAAGTTTTTATTCTTGAAGGTTCAAAAGTCAAGACGACTTTTCCAATGTTTTTATAATCCTGCAAAACAATTGTGTTGCCTCATATGGTCGAATTTTGTCCCTCCAAAGCAGATGTGATAAATTCAATAGAGGTTGACACTTGACCGATAAGGCTGCTGTTTGTACGGTGCCCTAATGACCCGCCAGGCGGAACAAAGAATGTAAACTGTCGTGTCGCCCAGAAATCAATCATCCATTGATTCATTTCAACACTTTAACAGATTGAGAATTCTCTCCTGCCTGCAAGGAAGAAAGTCCCAACAGTAGTCCCAACATATTTGCTCGCAAATGCTACTTGCAGACCAGAGTTCTCTTCCTGCTTCTTTGTAACAAAGTCTGTGTTGCAAAAGATTCATCAAGATCATCAAGGCTTTTGAGATCTACCGAACTTCCGTCAAACTCAAAACATCTATGCTTTGATGATCCCAGGGAATCACTTCCAGCCAACAGTTGATAACAGTTGGGTTTGTGGCTTACATCTCTCAGCACCCCTTGCAAGTTGGGGGTCCCAGGAGTACAAGGCCAGGGAGTCCATCTACATTTCAGCCTTGGTCAACCAAGAGGCTGAGATGACCCGTTTGAGGCGCGGCGTGTTGATGACACCGCCGTTGTCAGGGCGATAAGATGTGTTGCGAAGCGGCGAGTTTGTTGGGGGAGAGATGGAAAAGGATAGGATTTGGGTGGCTGTCAATATGGACAGCGAGGTTCCAATACATGGCCCATCCACCAAGGCTGCGATGCTGTGGCGAAGCCTTTGTGGAGCCATTGGGTACCGATATTCGACAACTCTGCATCCTTAAAGCTGACACAATATAAAACTCTGGACCCTTTTTGAAGAGGAATCTCTACAGGCAGGATCAAACGAGTGTAATCACTTGTTGCGTGTCCATGCATTTTTGTTGGTGTAGACTCTGAAAACGGATCCATCACCACGTTCCGTGGTAGACCTGGTAGACCAGATAGCCTGACCACCGGGGGAGCTGTTGTCCATGCGAAGCCGCAAAGCGCCGATGTAGTAGCAAGAAGCTATTAGGTTGGAGGCCATCACTGCTAGGTGGAGGCCATCTCTACTAGTAGCAAGGACGCTACTAGTAGCTTGTTCAAGGTCCTTGGCTGCTGAGATCATGGGCGCTTATGGCAATGTCTCCAAGGCAGCCCTGAGAGGCGGAAAAGACGAAAACCACTGAGCCACCGGCTGGGCATACTAGTAACAAGGTGCATCGCTACTAGTAGCAAGGACGCTACTAGTAGCTATTTGCCACTAGTAGGAATACACTTGTTACTATTAGCGATGCACTTGTTACTAGTAGCAAATGTCTTTTTGTATCAGGTGGTGTTGACAGGCTGACAGGTCCATGACACGTAGGGACATCCACACAGATGTGCCTGCATGATTGCTAGAGACCATATTGTTCAACTCTCCAGTTCAACTATGTTCAACTCAATGCCATACATGTTCGACTCCATCCCAAGATGGATATCCATGGTGCTCCATGGTGTTCCCTTTCACCAATGGATGACCATTAAATTCATGGTTGCCGAGCCATGGGAGCTGTGACATGCCCGAGGTCAAACTGGAGTAGATTTGATTGTCATGAGTTGTACAGGAGAAGGGGGCAACCCTCCTCATCTCTCCTCCACAAAGTACTATAAGTACTCTTACTGCTGGTGTAAATGGGTTGTTTGCCCTATTTCTTCTATCTCCCGCACACATGTACAAACACACACACACACCTCTAGAGAGAGGGATGAGCCCTACAGTGCAGCTACAGTACATTGCAGGTGAGCATTAGCACTCAGGAGTTGGTTAGAGTGACCCAAGGTGGAGAGTGGAAACAGTCTGCAGAAAATTTTAGTTAGGTACGTTCGCACAGTGTCCTTTTCAGGTTTTAGCCACTATTGCAACGCTCTTCGTTGGGCAATCGACTGCTAAGTGAGATTTTGCCACTGTTTCTGTACAGACAAGAAAGGCGTGCAGCGGTGTGTGAACATGGTGTGCCTTTGAAGCAGGGTGTGACACGCTTGCTTGCTTGCTTGCTTGCTTGCTTGCTTGCTTGCTTGCTTGCTTGCTTGCTTGCTTGCTTGCACTGTGCACAGATTCATTGCATATTTCATGACACCTGGTTGTGCCCCTTCAAGTCTAGTGTCGCCCTTTTTGGGCCCCTGGCGGGTCTTTGTGTCTTCTTTTGGAGGTGGTGTAGGACCTTTCTCCAACAACACGGGCCGAAGCCCTCGCTCAGCTCGGTGTTTCTGAAGCACCACTCGGCCAGGGGCGCTTGCAGATGCCACCAGCAACATGGAGGCATGACCATTCGGGCAGAGCGACTGAACGGGGAACCGAAATCTCCTGATCGAGACAACTTGCAGGGTTCTGTGTGACTTACTCTTTGGGAAAGTGTTGTCCGTTCTTGTGAGTCCTTGTATTTTGAGACGGAACCGGATGTTGTGTTGATCATTTTGTGTGTGTGGCACAGGCAGATGGAACTTGAAATTGATGATAGAGCAAGCACATAAACCACACATAAAGCTATCTTTTGCCCTTATCGCCACTGTGAACCCTACTTTCTTGCCACGGCGGTTTTCTTTTGCTGCAGGTGCTGGTGCTGCGGCAGCAGGCGCACCCCGTTGATTCGCATATTTTTGCACATGTCTCAACATAATGGAGCACTGGAGAACCAACCAATCACATTTCTTTGACTCTTGGTTCCACTGCTGGTCAGCTGAGCCGTGGCTTGGACAGATTGCAAGTCGCGCTACTTGAACTTGTGGTACCAGAGTGGCTTCTTTGTGTGTGACAATGTTGGTCTTCCAAGGCAAGAGCCAAGGAGCAGCGTGTGCGACAACTGAAGGATGACTTGGAGGCCCTGGAAGCGGGTGCCGAGAGGCAAGCACAGGAAGAGGTTGTGAGTCGAAACAAAAGAGGAAGGAAACGGCTGCGATTCGGAATGACTATAATATAAGCAACATTAACCATTAACCTGTCAAACATCCCACCACCAGAGGTGAAGGAAGAACCTTGCACCCATCGAGCATTTCATAGGCTGGCATGAGCATGCATGAGCATGCATGAACATCCTATGGTTGGCCAAGGGTCCATGTCATCATCCATGTTGACTTTTGAGGGTGCAAATCCAAGATGAACATAATTAGTGTCGCATTCTACAATGCAGTCAAAGTTGCCAGCCTAGAAACCTGAAGGTAATAGCACACTAGCAACGTCCGTGGATATGCCTAAAAGTTTGGTACGGCATTTGTCGCCAATAAAACTTGGGTACGTGAGCAAAATGACAGTCTGGTTTGAAGAGGGAAACATCATAACCAACAGACAATGTGTAATGTAGAATCTTGATGAATACAATCCCCCGGTCATGGGTTGTAAAGCCTCTTCGTATATTCATTCTACATTAAGCATGATCTGATCCCTTCATGTTTGTGTCATGCCGCTCAGGCTAACCGCTTTGATCAGAGCGACCCTGCCGGAAAGGCACTGGACACACGATCAACGGGAGAGAATGAAGCGATCCTGGCAGTCGGCTGTAGGGCGATCCTGGCGGTAGGTCCGGAGCTTTTATGGGGTCCAATCAGGTTTCCTTAATGTGATTTTCTTTGGCTAACCAGATGTGGATGTCGATGTTTGAATCCTAGATGACCAGTGAGTGCTTTCATCAAGACCTGCCAAGACCACGCGCACAAGATGCGAAGATCAACCGTCATCGCAGGCAAAGATAGCACGTGTTTGTGCATGTTTTTCATAGAGCTTCAAAACGGAAGACGCAGCATGCTTAGTAGAAACACGATCACGCAGCAAGCAACCTGGCATAACCTGGCCATGGTTTTCTAACCAATAAAAGCACAATTGTGTGTTTATTGAATTCCAAGAGTTCTTCCATTCTTATTCATTCTAAGTTAGGGAGTGAAACACTCTCGGCAGTCCTTGGATCCGCCAGGCCCTGATGCAGAAATGCAAGGCCACAACAGTCAATCAGAGGTTGCGCGATATGTTTCGAAATCCCTTGGTGGAAAGTGACAGGCATAGGAAAGAATAGTTAGCTAGTGTT